GCGATGGAGGGGGTGACGGAGGCGGCGGCGAGGGCGGCGGCGGCGAGGGCGGCGGTGAAGGTGGTGGGTTCGGAACCGGCGGCGAGGGCGGTGGGAAGGGCGGGTAGAGGTACGAGGTGGTGTTGGAGATGATGTCGGAGGCGGTGACGTTGAGGAGAGAGGCCAGGACATCTCGCACGACGGCTAGCGTCTCGTCGCCACTCTCGCCCGAGTACGTCAGACTTTCTACATTAGACTCCGTCTCCACTTGAATCAGCACCGACTCTAGCGTGACTGTCGTGCCAGCCATTGCTCCGATCAAAAAAGGCGGCTTGGCAACGGATTGCGATGCGGTCAAGCCAGAGGTGTTGACCTGCAAAAAGGCCTCCATATCCCACATTGACGAGGGGGGAGATGGAGGTGGGTTCGGTGGTACCGATGGGGGAGGTGGCGACGGTGGCGGCGACAACGGTGGCGACGGTGGCTGCGAGGGCGTCGGCGAGGGCGGTGGTGGGCTCGGAGGTGGCGGCGAGGGCGGCGGAGGAGACGGCGGCGGTGGCGAGGGCGGTGAGGGCGATGGCGGCGGCGGCGATGGCGGCGGCGGCGATGGCGGCGGCGGCGATGGCGGCGGCGGCGATGGCGGCGGCGGCGACGGAGGCGACGAAGGCTCTTCGCTCAGCCGGCGTCCTGTATCTGGCACTGCCGTACACCCGTCTTGCTCATAAGAGAGCGGTAGGGACCTGCACAGCTCGGCTCCAAAGTTCTCAGCGCTCACGTTGGACGGCTGGAATGCGATCAACTCGAGCCGCTGCAGCACGGTGATAGACACGGGCGCCGGCTGGTTCATCTGATTGATTCCCTGCACAATTTTGTCGATGATTTCGGCGGCAGTCGCCGGCCGAAGAGGTCCATTCGTGGGTATCACAAAGTCAACCCTGGAAGTTGCCGATTGCTTGAAGGGCGGCGGCGAGGGCGGTGGCGGCGATGGCGGCGGCGGCGATGGCGGCGGCGTGACGGGCGGCGGCGAGGGCGGCGACGGAGGAGACGGCGGCGGCGAGGGCGGAGAGGGTGGGGAAGGTGGCGACGGCGGCGACGGCGGCGAAGGTGGCAGCGGGGCGGTGATGGGATCGCCGGGAAAGGTCGGATCGCCGGGAAGACTGAACCCCAGGATGAGGCCGACGACAGCGATGGCGACGCCGGCAAGGACAGCGATGAGGAAGCGGCGGGACCAGCGCCGGCCGCGAGAGGCCCGCGCCGCGGCGCGCGGCACGACGTCTCCGACTGAGAGCCGGGATACGCCAACTTCGGCGTCGGTCGCCTGGCTGTGGCGAATGATCTGCCCAGTGGCGAACCGGCCGTGGCGGCGCTGCTCATCTGCGAGAGCCTCGGTGCGCGAGCGAGACAGCGGCGGCGGCTTCTTGGTCACATCGCCGACGGAGAGGCGGCTCGGAGGCAGCTGCTTCGCGCCGCTCTGCGCCGCGCTCGCCTTCGGCGGCCGGCCTGCGGTCGTGACGTCGCCGACGGAGCGGCGGTCTTGCGGCGGCCCGGCGGGCCTGGCTTGCTTGCGCTGCGCCGACCGAGCGACGGCAGCGTTCTGTCGAGAGCGTGGTTCACTGATGGGAGGGCGATCGGGTACGGCCATTTTGGTTGGCAAGCTGGTTTGCAAGCTGCGGTTGCGAGGAGGGAGACGCGGAAGTGCTCAAAGATCCGGACGACCGTGACAGCGGCTCGCCTTGTTTTTTTTCCTTCTGCTGCTAGGGGAAACCTGGAGCGCGGAGCTAACCCTCGGAGACCCGTGTTTACTTTAAGGCCCTTGCCCTGCGAACGCGCACCCCCGGGGCTAGGGCTCTCTAGCCCGTAACCCGATACCGATCATCCGGCCCGCTGGATGCGCTTCTCAGCTCACTCACCGGCCCTGGATGTGAGGTTGCCGACTGCACTCCAAGTGCTCCAAGTGCTGGGCTTGTACTTCCTGTTTGTGTCTGTGTGTCGCTCGTGCGTGTCGACATCATCTGTCCAGCGTCCACCCATACCGCGTTGGTGTCCAGTCCGAGCCTGGCTGTTCTTCACCTTTCTTAGCTACCTATTTTTTTGTGATTTGGGCTCGGCAGCTTGTTAGCCCTCAGCCGAAGCTGGGGCCGGTCCCGTAGCCGAGAGAGCCCGCGCCGATGAGTTCGACGCGGTCGGGGGGGCCTGCGGAGAGGCCAGCGAGGTGGCGATCGCTATTTCTCCTATTTTTGCCTTTTTGTGTGTTGAGAGAGAGAGAGAGATTTTTAGCAATACCAAACAACTCTAACACTCACACGTCATTTGGGGCCTGGAGCTTTTTGTTTGAGATTTTTAGCAATACCAAACAACTCTAACACTCACACGTCATTTGGGGCCTGGAGCCCATGTTTTTGAGATTTTTGTTTGTTGTGTGTTGGTGTCCAGTCCGAGCCTGGCTGTTCTTGATTCACCTTCCTACCTAACCTTCAAACACATCTCTCTCTCCTAACCTTAAGCGTGAACAGGGCTCCAGGCCCCAAAGGACGTGTGAGTGTTAGAGTTGTTTGGTATACCTTTGTTTGTAACCTTTGTGTACTGCGTCGGTTTAACTCTGTTGTGCGAGGCGTGAACCGCGCCATTCGCTCTCACCTGGCAACCCTGTCTGCACGTCTCGCGCGCGCGTGAACAGGGCTCCAGGCCCCAAATGACGTGTGAGTGTTAGAGTTGTTTAGTATTGCTAAAAATCTGAGTCGGTTTAGGTTTGTTTGTTGCTGCGATCGCGTATTATGATCGGTGTGAAATAGTGAAAACAGCATAGTAGGTGTGAATATAGTAATTAGTACATGCCCCTGTGTGCTCAGGCAGTCCTCTCTCTAGTGTCTGGACTTGATGAACTCGAACAATGGTATTGCTAAAAATGTGTGTGAACTCGGGGGCACGGGACGCGGCCCAAACGGGGCACAAAAACAGGGGAGGCACGTAGTGACGCAAGGGAGTTTAGGCGACGGTGGCGTCCTATGTTTCGCCCCAATGAGGATGTTCCCCGAGTGAGTGAGTGAGTATTCTTGATACGAAACCAAACAAACAAATCTCTCGAAACCACGACGACACACACCAGTCGACTCGCATCGGTTGCCTCCATGAACACAGCGGAGCGGAGCTCTTTCTCCGCGTCCACACCACACCTGGCTCCAACGTGGACACGCCCATAGCTGGGGACACTCACTACTAGGTCATGCACGGCTTCAGAAGTTTACACACACACACACACACACACACACATAATAAAAATCTCTCTCACACATGACATGTACACATGTCCATGTACATGTTCCCCGACAGCCGAGATTTCTTACGCAAGGAAGGAGTTTTCTTTTTAGTGTGCCTGTGATAGTACTAGCACGCGCCAGTTCGCACCTGTGTCGAGCCTGCCTGCTTTGATATTTGGTAAATTCTTTTTAATGACCGCAGCGAATATGTTCACACCTTGAGCGGACGCCAATTGATTCGCGATACTCTGGCAAAAAAGGGGTTGGCAACGGGCTTTTGCGGGGGCAAGCCTTCAGCTGGTGCCAAAACGTACCAAAACGTCCGTCCCGTCTGAACACCGTCGACCAAATACGCGGTCGGTAGAAATGGCTTGCTTGCAAGAATGGGATGCCGACAGGCGTCAGGCGGCGCATGCCGAGAAGTCGCTTGCCGTGCGGGAGCTCGTGCGCCTCTCCCTGCGCGTGCAGTCCACGGGCGTCGTCGCGGAGCTTCATCTCGACACGGCACTGGTTGCTCCGAGCGGCAGCGGAGCTGATCACGAGCGACGAATTCGCCGGGGATGCCAGGCAACAGATGGGCGCGCAGATAATTGGCGTGGCGTCCTAAACAACGCGACCGACGAGCATGCTCAACTGTTGCGCGACGCTCTCTGCGACCCCGACTTTTGTATGCGCTTTGCCATTCGCCGCCGCATTGGCTCAGGGGGCACAGTCCGCTTGCAGTGGCTCTTCCGCACGAATAGCGTTGTTGGCCGCATGCGTCCTGGCATCGGGAGGGTCCGCCTAAGAGGAAGTACGTTCGTAAGAACTGATACATATACTTTTTGTGCGTGGAGCGTCTTCCCCTTTTGCGCAGCAACACCTTAAACTTTTAGGCCCTCCAAATTCGGTCGGGTCGGAGCGTAGCGGAGTGGGCCCCGAGTTTGAAAAAGGGCGACGGACGCTTGCGTCCTAGCCTCCAACAACGCCCCCCCGGCGCAGAGGGGCCCCCGGAGGGATGCTCAACCGCTCCACGCCACGCCGCTCGCGGCGGTCCTATTCCCAGCTCCGCTGAGCGCTGGTCGCGTTATTTCTTCCGCAGCTTGTTTTGAGGCGCTGCGACTTGGTGCAAGCGACCTGAGGGCCTCCGCCACGCACCGTGGCCGCCGCCTCGTAGGCATGGCCTCTCTGCAAAGCAAGATCGAGGGCCACCAGGTGAACGAAGTCCGCGAGAAGGTTCGCGCCTTTGCTGAGGTGGCGGCGGCTGTGCGCTCCGACCTGCAGGCGGCGGGCCTGCAGATTTCGAGCGAGATCGCGCAGGAGGACGCCGAGGGCGGTGACAGCTGCCCCGCCGGCTGCAGCCAAAAGACGGTTTACTTTGTGAGGCACGGCGAGGGCGTGCACAACGTGGCCCAGAGGCTGTGGCGCGAGGCGAGTGGATACGACGGTGTCTCCGAGCCGTACACCACCGACAACGACCCGGACGGCAAGTACGTCGACGCCGAGCTGACAGACTGCGGCGTATCGCAGGCAGAGGCGCTGCGGCCACGGACCACCCACTTGGGCGTCGACCTGCTCGTGGTCTCTCCGCTGCGGCGCGCGACGACGACCGGCCTGCTCGCCTTCGAGGCGCACGTGGCGCGCGGCCTGCCCGTGCTGGCGCACGAGCTGCTGCACGAGACGGCGGGTCGCCACACCTGCGACAGGCGGCTGCCTCGCTCCGCGCTCGCCGCGGCGTTCCCGTCCGTGGACTACTCGCTGCTGCTTGACGAGGCGGACCCACTCTGGGGCGACGGCGCCTCGCGCGAGAGCTGCCTCGCGCTGGCGCGCCGCGCCGCCGCCTTCACCCAGTGGCTCGCCCAGCGGCCGGAGCAGCGTGTGGCGGTGGCGACGCACTCGGGCTTCCTGTGCGCGATGATGGTCAGCGTGCTCGGCCTCGGCGGCGAGGGCGCCTGGTTCGGGACCGGCGAGATGCGGACGCTGCGTCTCACCTTCCGCGGCGTGTAGATTGGGACCGATGGTGGTGTCGCGCTTGTGCGACTGCTTGCGAGTTTTGAGAGAGAGAGGGAGAGAAAGACCGATGGTGGTGTCGCGCTTGTGCGACTGCTTGCGAGTTTTGAGAGAGAGAGGGAGAGAGAGACGCTCGGCGGAGCTCGAGTCGCCGAGAGAGAGAGTCGCGAGAGGTCCAGCGAGGTATGGGGTGTCCGAGGACGTGTGCTGGCCCCCTGCCACCGGGTGCGACTGCGAGTCTATGCGGTGCGGGCGGGCGGATGGCGTGTCAGCGAGAGCGGCGCTCTCTCCAGACCGACGGGTCATATATGGAAACGCGTTTCGACCACACACCGAATTACGTATATTTACACATATATCTCTGACACAAGAGGAACACGCGCCTGGGCCGCCGTCTTCCACAGCAGCGACCCTCCGCTCCGCGACCGGCCTCACAGCAAATTAGCCCGCTCCTGCCGCCCGCGGACGGCGCGCGACTTCGCCTCGCTGGCCAGCTGGCCCGCCCGCTGGCTCGCCTCTGCCGCAGCCTGCCGGAGCGCCTCGCCGCGCCCGTCATCCCGGGTGGCCTCGAGGACCATCCACAGGACGACGACGAGGAGCATCATCACGTAGGGCGGCGGCGGAGGAGGCGGCGGCGGCCGCGGCGCGGGAGACGGGGGCGGCGGCGGCCTCGGAGAGCCGGGCGGCGGAGGCGTCGACGGTGGAGGCGCAGGTAGCGGCGGGTACATGGACGTACACCTGCCGGGAGGGGAGGGTCGTGCGGGTGATGCGGCGAGGGCGTGGCGAGTCGCGCGGCGCGGGTGTCGAGAGTGGGGGGGGGGGGGGGGTGCGCCGGTGCGCTTGGCACTGCACGGCCGGAAGGGCAGTGAGGGCGGCGGAGCCGAGGGCTGCGGCGGTGAGGGCGGGGGCAGCGAGGCGGCGGCAGCGAGGGCGGCGGCGGTGAGGCACTCTGCGGGAGAGAGGGCGCGCGAGAGGATCGGCCGCTGTGCTGAGTCCGCACGGTTTGGTTCTCGAGAGGGATGAACCGTACAGTTGAGGCTCGTCACATCCAGACTCGCGCGGTGGCGCCGCAAGCGCGGTGGGGCTTGTGTGGTGTGGCGCGCGAATCAGAACTTGGAATGCGAAGCGGTGACATCACGTGATTCAGCGATGAACCGAACTTGCAGCTCATCCTCTTCGGGGCCGCGGCGCGCGGCGGGGTATGGCGTGGGCCGCGAGGCGTGGGCGGAGGGGCGGAGGACGCCTGTACTCGCGTGCGCCTCTGTCGGAGTGAGAGGCAAGCTGGCCCGACCGCGTCCAGTAGCGCACGCAGCGGGGCTTGCCGGCGTCCTTGCACCCGTCGTGCGGCGTCTGGGGGGTCGCCGCCCACGCCACAGCCACGCAGGCCGCGCTCTCCTGGCACTCGGCCACGCACGCGTACGCCGCAGAGCAGTCTGCCCACGACTCGAAGGTGTCGTGCTCCTCGCCGGCCTCGCGGCAGTAGCCGGTGCCGATCAGGAAGGTGGGCTTGAGCGGCGGCAGGGCCGCGGGTATCGGAAGCTCCATCTTTGCGAAGACTGCGACATCCGAAGCAGCGCCCGCTAGGTCGGCGGCGGGGGCGGGGGCGGCGGCGGGGGCGGCGGCGGGGGCGGCGGCGGCGTCGTCCGCCGCCTCTGCGGTCGGCGGCGGCACCACGGCGACGGTGGCGGAGCTGCAGATGCTGGCCGTTGCGATCAATAGCGCCGGCGGCGCGAGGCGGAGGGGAGCAGCAAACAAACGCGGCGCCATTTCCTTGGCCACGCTGCGACTGCCGTGTTCACGCGGGGGCGGAAGGGGGCGGCCGAGGATTTGTTTTCGCGCTCAAGTAAAAGTACTCGAGTACTCAGTGCCCGTGGCGCGCGGGCTCACACGGAGAGACACATGAGTGACAAGAGAGCGGGGACGTGTGTGTGTGTGTGTGGGGGGGTGTCTTCTGCCACATCGGAAGCGCTGCTCTTGCTACGTACGTGCGCGCTATCGCTCGAGTACGCTTGCAACGCAGCAGCTCTCGGATGCGAGGGGCTCGGCCATCCGTGAAGACTAGCTCGCGGGCAGCCAAGGTGGTACTGCCCGCTCCTCCGCGCGCGCGCAAGAGGCGGCGAGGCGGCTGCGGCCGGCTGCAGGCAGTTGGCCTGTCCGAGGGTTTCCTCTCGCACCCTACCTGGTTTCCTTTCCGTGTTTCCTGCTCGTTTCCCTACAACACCCTCTAGTTTCCTCTGGAAACCCCGGGGAAACTCCGTGGAATTCGTCATTTTGGGGGGGCTCTGAGCCGTGTCTGAGGCTGTTTTGGGGCCAAAATCGGCAAAATACCCAGGTGTATTCTTTTTTTGCTTGGCCGGCCCTGATGCCGGGGTAGGTAGGGTAGGTCTGGGCCCTCCCGTCGGGTTTTTCCCTCTCTTCAAGCTGGAATTTTCACAGTAAAAAAAGAATTTTTCGGCTTAAATCACGATGTCAACCCTCCCCAAATGGGTGATCTGATGCTTGTAGGGCTTGAGAGTGGCCTGCCATGTCACAAGAAGGACTGTGGTTGCAGGAGAGTACCACCAACCATCACTCTAGTTGGTGTAGTACCCCACCTTCACCCATCGAGTGATTTCTTTTTTAGTTTCCCATAAGTAAGGTAGGTAGGTAGGTAGGTAGGTAGGGGCACCGCAGGGGCCGGCCAGGTTTTTGCAGAATTTCAGCATCAGGGCCGGCCAAGCAAAAAAAGAATACACCTGAAATACCGGGTATTTTGCGGGTATACCTGGAAAACCCCGGTATACCTGGAAAATACCTGGGTATCGTGCCGATTTCCTCAATTTTGCCCCAGATTTTGCCCCAGACCAGCTCTCAGACTCAGGGAAACTCGCGAGTTTCCCGAGGGAAACTCGAGAGAAACAGAATGGAGCACCAAACACCCTCTGGTTTCCCTGGAAACTTCCGGAAACGCAAAGTGCTGGGGACCCTCTGGTTTCCCTCTGGGTTGCCGGAAACCCTCGGACAGGCCAAGCAGGCAGGCGTGCAGGCAGGCGTGCAGGCAGGCGTGCAGGCACGCGCGCGTTGCTCTGTGCTCCTCGCTCCGACTGTCCGACACGCACCGCTCGAGGAGCTGCGCTCGAGCGCCGCGCGCGATTTCGCTCCACACTAAGGCATCTCGATAAAGGGTGAGAGTACCGTGTTTGTTATGACCCACCCCAATGAACACACCAGTGAGGGAGGGCGAGACTATCGAGGGGTCCCGTACCATGCGGAACCGACCCTATCCAGTGCTCAAGTGCTCAAGTGAGAGGAGCGTGCACGGGGACGTACGAGTTCACAGCCTAATCGGCAAATGATCCACAGTCGGAACGGACGCACGAGCAACGGTCCAGCCGCCCGGTGCCGTGATGGCCCGTCGCGAATCGAGCGCCAAGGACCCCGTCCTGTCTCGCCTGCGGCCCGCGGCTCCCGATGGGCGCGGGCCCGGCGCTCGCATGGCGGGGGGACAGCCACGAATGGGAATGCCGCAGCCGCAGGGCCGCCTCTCGCTCGGCGACGTCTCTTCCGTGCCGCGGCAGGGCAGGCCCTCTTCCGCGACCGCCGCACGAGGTCAGCTGGCAAGTCGACCGCCGCTTGGGCGGCTCTCCGTCGGCGACGTCACTTCCTCCAGCCGGCCGCTGCCTCGGGGGCCGCTGGCGCCGCTCTCGCGGGCGGGCGCCATTGCCATGGAGCAGCGGCGCCACGGCAAGTTCACCACCGGCCACGTGATAAGCCACGGCAGGCGGCCCATGGCGCTCGGCAGGCTATCCGCCGCAGACTCGATGGCCAGAGACCCAGAGGCGGGCATCTCCCGGCTCTCGGTCGGCGACGTGGTGCCGAGGGCCTCGCTCCAGGCGCCGCGCCGCCGCCGTCGCTGGAGCCGCCGCGTCCTCCTCGCCGTCCTCGGGGGCGTCGCACTCGCGGGGATCCTGGGCCTGGGTCTCGGCCTCGGACTGTCCGCGCCCGGCCGAGACGGCGGCGGCGACGAATCTGGCCTACTGGCTCCGCGGCCGCCGGAGCCACCGTCGCCGCCTCCATTCTCCCCGCTCCAGGCAGAGGTTGACAACGAAGTGGTGCTCGACCTGAGCAGCGGGGTCCTACTCAACAAGGACCGTCCGGCGACCGCTGCCGAGATTATTGACGAGATTGTTAAGGGCATCACCGACCAGGGCCAGCCGGCACCCGTATCCATCACCGTGATTCAGCGGCTAGATGTGGTCGCCTTTCAGCCTCCAGGGACGAGTGATGACGATTTTGCCGCTGTCCTGTGCAGCCAGCTCCCCGCCGACTACGACCGCGAGCGATGTACCGTCACCAAGCAGACAGTGACACGCCGCCGGCTGAACGAAGCACCGCCCTCTCCGCCGCCGCCCACGCCGCCGACGCCGACACCGCAGCCACCCTCGCCGCCACCGTCACCGCCGCCACCGAGCCCACCGCCTCCATCACCGCCCCGGCCCTCACCTCCGCCTCCAAGCCCTCCACCTCCCTTGCCACCACCAACACCGCCACCACCCTCCCCGCCGCCGCCGTCGCCACCTCCACCCTCACCGCTGCCGCCCTCACCGCCGCCGCCATCGCCACCTCCGCCGCCACCACCGCCGCCCGTGGCACCACCACCGCCGTCCTCGCCACCGCCCCTACCGTCGCCCCCTCCTCCTTCGCCCCCCCCACCCTCGCCACCGCCGCCCTCGCCACCACCGCCTTCTCCGCCACCCCCCGACCCGCCACCACTTGCCCCACCGCCGTCGCCCCCGCCGCCATCGCCGCCACCACCATCGCCACCGCCACCCTCACCGCCGCCGCCATCGCCGCCTCCAGCCTCGCCACCGCCGCCCTCCCCACCGCCTCCCTCTCCACCACCTCCCTCGCCGCCGCCGCCATCACCGCCTCCACCATCGCCGCCACCGGCACCGCCACCACCCTCACCGCCACCGCCATCACCGCCGCCTGCATCAGACTGGTATATGACGGTGCCGCTGCTTGTGAAGACTTCGGGCCTGGACGCGTCGCACTCTGTCATTGATCCGCCAGACTTTGAGGGAGCTGCGGATGGCACGACGGCGACGCTGCAGGCCGTGGCCATCGAAATGCGGACGGTGGTTGAGCCGGGATCGCAGGACAGCCTCGTCGAGGACGCGGTGGCGAGCGGCGACACCAAGGCAGCCGTCGCAAGAGACGTCTTGGCGTCGCTGCTCTCTCCCAACGTCTCCGACCCAAACAGCTTCATCTCCAACACCACCTCGTACGTCTACCCACCCTTTCCGCCGCCATCGCCGCCGTCGCCGCCACCGACCCCGCCGCCTCCATCGCCGCCGCCGCCGTCGCCGCCGCCGCCGTCACCACCGCCGCCCTCGCCTCCGCCGCCGTCACCACCGCCGTCTCCGCCCCCTCCGAGTCCGCCGCCGCCCAGCCCACCTCCGCCATCACCTCCGCCTCCATCGCCGCCACCACCTAGCCCGCCGCCACCAAGCCCGCCACCGCCATCTCCTCCGCCGCCCAGCCCGCCTCCGCCCGCGCCCCCTCCACCATCCCCTCCACCGCCCAGCCCGCCTCCTCCGTCACCACCCCCACCGTCGCCCCCGCCGCCGTCACCACCACCACCGAGCCCACCACCGCCTAACCCTCCCCCGCCGTCACCACCGCCACCGTCACCACCGCCTCCCTCGCCACCACCTCCCTCGCCACCACCGTCGCCACCCCAACCGTCGCCCCCCCCGCCGTCGCCGCCGCCGTCGCCACCCCCTCCTACCCCTCCACCGCCCTCGCCGCCACCCCCATCGCCGCCACCTCCATCGCCGCCGCCACCGAGCCCGCCCCCTCCCTCACCTCCACCACCTTCGCCACCGCCTCCATCGCCTCCACCACCAAGCCCCCCTCCACCATCTCCTCCGCCACCCTCCCCTCCGCCACCGTCTCCTCCGCCGCCCTCACCACCCCCACCGTCGCCGCCCCCTCCATCACCGCCTCCACCCTCGCCTCCCC